CTCTCTCTCTCTCTCTCCCTCTCCCTCTTCTCTTTCCCTCCCTCTATCTATCTGTGTCTCTTCTCTCTCTCTCTTTTTCTCTCTCGGCTTGACTCACATCCCAAGAACACGACGTCATACCCAGCAAGAGGGGGGGGGGGCAGGAGAGGAGCACCCCTTCCTCATCACCCACCCTTCCAACTCCGTGGTCGGCGAAGACACCCCCCCCTCTTCCCTCGCCTTCCTTCCCATGACACGCAGCGTGCCAAAAAAAAAGTTTCGTGCAAACCCCTCTTTATAATTTAAACTGCCCCATTTACCCCCATCCTGGTTTTAAGCTAGCTTGAACTGCAAATTAAGCCAGGCGTGGTGTGGTAGAGGTGGGGGGGAAAGGGGGTTAAGTTGAAGAGCTTCTTAAAATGGATACGGAAATGTTGGGTGTGGGATAATTGAGGTTTGTTTATATATATATATATATATATATATATTTTGAGAGCTGTCCTGGTGGATTTGAGGAACAGCTGGGGTGGATTCCTCCTCGGGATTTAAATAGGGATAAGATCTTAAAAGCCTTATCCTCCTGTAGCTGCAGGGCTGCGAAACGGGGCGGTTTTGAAAGCATTTTAACCAGGTTTAATCATCTGACATGTTTGCCGTGTGGCGAGGGCTATTTCAATGCAGCTGCCGATTTTGATGCATTTCGGTGGTTTAGCCGAACAAGCCTCGCCAAGACTTTGGTTCCTCCCCTTAACACAAAAAAGTTTTGATCGTGGTTTGTTCAAACCCCCCCGTGAAGTTTATGGCTTGGCGATCAAAGCCACCCCGTGAATTCCAGGCTTGTCATTTCGAATGCAAACGGGTAGAAGGAAGTTGGCGAAACGGGGATTTAGAAAATCTTTTTAAAAAGTTTCGAGCTACGGAAATGTAATTAAAACCAGGTTTAGCTGTGATCCTGGCCGTGTTCACAACTTTTTTGGGTGGGGGTGGGGGTGGGGGAAAGTCAGATATGGAAGGTTTTTATGTCGTGTTACCGGTTTTGCTGTGAAGGTTTGTTCAAGACCCAAAGTTGTGTACATGTTTAGTATAAATAAACGCTTCCTGCTTTAGCTCAGAGGGCTCTATTAATCCGGTCAGGCTGGGATTAGGTTGAATTGTGGTTTTGTGTATTTGTGGGATGAGGTTTTTAAGAGCCTGTGGGAAGCCACTTTCCACCCTCGGCCAGCATCTGGACTGTAGGTTTTATGACTGAAAATTTCCTTGAATTTGCCCTTCCGTTCATAATACAGGTAGTCCTCGGTTTACAACCAGCATTTCCATTGCTGCACCTTAGTTTAAGGTGGTCCTCGGTTTACAACCAGATTTCCATTGCTACATCTTAGTTTAAGGTGATCCTCGGTTTACGACCAGCATTTCCATTGCTACACTTAGTTACGACCAGCATTTCCATTGCTACACCTTAGTTAGGTGGTCCTCGGTTTACAACCAGAATTTCCATTGCTACATCTTAGTTTAAGGTGATCCTCGGTTTACGACCAGAATTTCCATTGCTACACTTAGTTACGACCAGAATTTCCATTGCTGCACCTTAGTTTAAGGTAGTCCTCAGTTTACGACCAGAATTTCCATTGCTACACTTAGTTACGACCAGCATTTCCATTGCTACACCTTAGTTTAAGGTGGTCCTCGGTTTACGACCAGAATTTCCATTGCTACACTTAGTTACGACCAGAATTTCCA